GTAGTCGTACATGACCTGGAAGTAGGTGTAGAAGCCCGCCGCTGCCTGCATATACCATATGATAAGGTAAGAGTATATGACCAACTTGTTGGTCACAAGCCTGTCCCTTTGCGGGTCCCTAGGCTTCCTACACATAATGTCGAGCTCAGCGGTCTCATATGCGAAGGAGATCGCAGGAAGAATGTCCGTGCCCAGATCGACTGCCAGGATGAGGACAGTCGAGAGAGGCAGAGGAATTTGGAGGATAACGAAGGCCAGGAAAGGAGTGATCTCGGGAATGTTGGACGTGAGCGTGTAAGCGATAGACTTCTTCAGATTGTCAAAGATGAGCCTTCCTTCTTCGATAGCATTAACGATCGATGAAAAGTCGTCATTAGCCAGAATCATGTCAGCGGCTTGCATGGCCACCTACAGCGCGACCATTCGGCCTCCTACCGCTGAGTTGCCCTTCCTACCTGCGTTCCTGCGATACCCATAGCAACGCCAATATTCGCCGCTTTCAGTGCAGGGGCATCATTCACGCCATCGCCGGTCATGGCCGTCACCTTTCCGAGCTCCTTCTGAGTCTCGGCGATTCTGAGCTTCTGGGTCGGTGTTGTCCTCGCGAAAACAATGTCCTGTATAATGCATCAACTAAAACAACCGACGGACGCGCCGACTCACCCTGTAGTGTGACAACACGAACTTCAAATCCTCGTCCGTCATCCCCTTCAACTGATCGCCATGAATGACGACAGCATTGACATCTTCCAGAGGCACCTGCACGGACGATCCCTCTCAGTGACTCGACTCCCCCATCCCCTCACGTCCTTGATGTCACAGTTTCGCTCCGCCGCAATTTCATCGGCCGTCTTAGATTTAATAATACCAACCTGCTTAGCGATGGCTTTCGCTGTGGCCGGCTGATCTCCTGTGACCATAATAACCTAACAAAAAGCGTTATCGAGGAAGTGATACCCCCAAGCCCGACGACTTCACCTGAATGCCAGCCCCATGGCATTTGGCAACTGCTTGTGGCACGCCCGACCTCGGCGGGTCCACCAGAGAGATGACTCCCAAGAAGGTGAGGCCCTCCAAAGGGAAGTTGAAGTCCTCAGTGTTCCACTTGAATTCCTCATGATACCTGAGGGGACTCTCAAGAG